TTGGGGCCACAAACTGAACCCAGGGGTGCTTAACCACTAAGCGACACCCCCAGTTCTTTTTATTATTTATTTAGAGACAGGGTCTTGCTTAGTTGCTTAGGGTTTCCCAAAGTTGCTGAGGCTGGCCTGCTCAGCCTCCCGGGTTCCTGGATTGGGGAACCACGCCTGGCCACACCTACTTTTTAAATGAATGAACAGGTGAGTGCATATGAAACAACAAGAGTTTTTCTAAGAAAGTCTACAGGCAGAATCAATACCAGCAAAACAGCCATATGACCCACAGCGACCTAAAAATGTAGTGCAATCCCTATCAAGATCTCCATGCCATTTTTTCATAGAAATTGAAAAAAAAAAACCAATTATCAAAGTTGAATGGAATCAGAAAAAACCCAAATAGCTAAAGCAATCTCCAGAAAAAAAGAACAGAATGGAGTCATCACACACCTTGATTTCAAAATATATTAAAAAGTGTTAGTTATAGTCCAATCCCAGCACGGGTATGAAAACACACCGAGCAATGGAACAGCATAGGGAGTCCAGAAAGAAGCCCAAGTTTAGTGGCAAACTGACTCTAGACAGAAGTGCCTAGAACACACAATGGGGAAAGAACAGTCTCTTCAGTAAATAGTGTTGGGGAAACCCACCGTCCACAGGTGCAGAGAGTGGAATTGGCGCTTATCTCACAGTTTACAAAAACCAATCCAAAGAACTGAAGGGTTGAACAGAAGGTGGGAAGCAGCAGCTCCTAGAAGAAAACCCAGGGTGAAGCTCCACAGCTGTTCTGACAGTGCCTTGGGCAGAACTCCAACAGCACAGGCAGCAGGAGCCGGAGAGGGGAGGAGGAGGCACCAAACAGAGGGGCTTCCTCACAGTGAGGGGGACAGCAGAGCCAGCCACAGAGAGGGGAATCGGTATCCAGCCTGGTGAAGGAATTCAACAAGAAAACAAAGGAACTGATTTTAAAATGGGCAAAGGATGTGAACAGACATCTCAAAGGAAGAGATATGAAAATCTACTCCCACCTTTTACCACCAGGGAAATGCAAGTTTAGTCGCAGTAAGATGTCACCTCACACCTTTCAGAATGACTGCTGAGTACAATGCATGCTGAAAGGGAGGTTCTCTGCCCTGGGAGTCGCTGTAGGGAAAAAAACCCAGCGCCCTGGGTCTTCAAAGGGCACCTTTCCTTGGCTCCAGTCTTTATCCCCAGCCCCACCAAGGTCTTTCCAAACCCGCTTCCTGTTGCAATGAAGAAGCACCATTTCTTTATCCAGTAAGACAGACAGACCTGTCCCTGTCTGTGGCCCTTTGTGGGAACAATGAAGTCTTAAGCATCTGAGACCTAAGATAACACTTGGATCTCTGGTCTCCTGTGGGGTCCTCGCCCTGCTGGGGCCTGTCCTAAACAGATTCTGTACCACACAGCCCTGCTGCTCCAGACTGGGGTGGGGCCCTCAAGCTGTTGTCAGGAACCCCACAGGTGATTCTGATGCACATTCAAATTTGGAAACTAACAAACGCCCTGGGGAGTAGGAGGGGTAATTAAATAGTCACCCTAAGACTTTGAAGGAGACGTCTGCATCTTTCAGAGAAATTGATGTGGAGATCATTCCTAAGTCACTGGGCTCTGGACCTACTGGAAGTCAAACTGGGAATCCATTCCCAGGCACCAGATCTCCCACCTCCCCCAGCACCGCCTCCCTCCCACCCAAAGCACCTTGATGGGATTAAAAATACACCCAAAACTTTTCTGTTTGTAGAACCTAGTGTCAAATACCGGTGTCCTCGCAGGAGGCACATTAGCATTTGATTAGTATGTGCATAGAAAGTTGTCTGAGCCCAAATACACAAACTGGGAAATCAAAGAGGGGCCCTCACACCTTTTGCTGGCCTCATCCTGAACATTTATTTGTTTTAAAACAACTTCCTCAGGGAATTTCCTTCCGAAAAGAAACTCGTCTCCATTTTAAAGGAAAATGACCCCCTCTTCCCTACTCCTTAACCAGTTCTGACAGTGACCCCATAATGAGAGGGGAGAAGGTGGCAGCTGGCATTTTTCTTGTCCTCCTTTTTAAAGCTGCAGTGAGACTGTAGAAAACATCCTCAGGAGATTTAGAAGCTACAAAGGACTTGAATTTTTATATGGAATTTATCCTAATACCTAGCTAATGCTTGTGCTTTTGTGCAGAGAAATAATTAAATTAAAATGCAATAAACGTTGAACCATGTTCCTATGAGGAAATAAAAAAAAAAAAACTTTTAACAAAATGTTTACAGCACTAAGGAATGGATTTCCTAAAGTTTCATCCTATCAGTAAAGTTTAAAACAATCCTTACTGAAAGTAAAAGCAGGAAAAGATCATCCTCTAATGCATAGGTTTAAAGGACTTAATAATATTCAGCAAATATTTATGTTGGTATATAAGTTTTTGATAATTCTAAAAAATCAAAATGGTTTTTTTTTGGCAAAAAAATTTCTCTGTCACTGATTTATTGAAGATCTTAATGGTTATAATTAAACTTTTTAGTGACTCCATTCTTCTTATGACCAAGAATATGAAAAATACAAATTTTGTACACTTTTAAAATCAAACTAACTTTAGAAATCATTTCATCTGATTTTCAATTCTCCCAACAAAGGAAAGGAGAGCTGTTTGGGGGTGGTGTCTGGCAGCCGTGGTGAGGTGGCACAATCCCAACTCCAAATTTGCTTCCACCCTTTGCTGTCTGTCTGAGCAAGATACCTCAGAAATCACTATTTTTTTGTAAACTTACTTAACAAATTTTAATGAACAAAGTTGCTTTCTTGCTAATTAGAGGTGAGTGGGATCAAAGACAAAGGCACTTGCAGTGTTTACCACACCCAGGAAGAGCTGGTTTCCTAGCTGACTAGTCTAATTGAGGCTCCACCTGCACTGATTTGTAAAACCTTCATGCAGAGTTTAAAGTCTATGCTATGGCACTGTGGAGGGGAAAGCTGAACTTGAGTACCCTAAATTTTAGGTCCTGTTTCAATTCAGAAGATGTATTTGGGTGGGAAGAGGAGTGGTGGCTGGTGGTCTCCAGGTCTTACCTTCCTGAGGGCCATCTCACCACAGTTTCCTGTCTTTTCCAAGCGCTAAGCCTAAGGACTTTAGTGGGTGGTGGGTGAAGAGAGACTCTGCCTCACACACATTTTGAGGGACTGAACAGAGTTTATATAGCTCCGGCTACAGTCACAGTTGGAGTGAATATCCAAGTGAGAGGGTGACTGGCCATGTGTTCACACACCTTAACTAACGCTAGAGGGAGAGGAAGATAACAGGAGAAGGGAATGAGTGGATCTATAAGGGCTCTCTGTAACGGGGGAGCAGGCGGGAGGAATTCTCCAGGCAGTTCAGAAGGATCTTTCACAACCCTGCACATATATTACTGTGATATTGTAAATAAAAATCATTAGGGAATCTAAAATTTTAGCTCCAGAAGAGACCATCTAATCCAACTACTTTTATTGGAAGTTTTAGCCTCAGGACCAAAATCGTTGCTTTAGAACTAAAAATAAAACACACATATTATATTAAATTCATGAGTATTTGAGTTCTAGTGCAATTAAGACCAGAGAGAGTAATTCCGTTACAGAAACTCAACCACACTATTCCAACTTTAATGTTTATGGCACAACACATGACATATACAAGTGAAAATGTATTTTCACTAATTTTGAGAGAGACAGACTGACAGAAACACACACACAAGAGCAGACGTTTACTACAGTTTCTTTTGGGATCATTTAGTTTAAGAGCTTTTTCTTTTCTTTGTGGTGCTGGGGATGGACCCTAGAGCCTCCTGAATGCTAGGAAGTGCTGAGCTTCACCCCAGCCCAGGGTTATTTAGTTAAAGCGACTTGTTGTCTCTCCTCACATTTAACCAATGTATCAATTACAACAAATTTATGATTGAGTGTATTCTCTTCTTCCTGCCAAGGGAATTTATCACATATAAGGAAATCAATCATAAGGAAGCAGTCCTCAAGTCTTGGGTAATGCTTAGGGAATACCTGCTTCCACAAATATCTAGTGTAGACGAAATGTACCCTTAAGCCACTTTCCCACGTACTTCCTAAAATGTTCAAGACCAACAAGCATAAAAGGCACAGCTCTGTTGGCAGTCTCTCCGCGCCTAACCCTGCTCCGTGTGTGGTCCGCAGCGGTCCTGCACCAGGCTGGTGGGATGCTCAAGGACCAAGAGCCCAGGAGCTGCATCCTTGTCGCTGCCGCAGGGACGCAGGCTGACCGCTGGGTGTCGCTGCTGTGCGAACAGCGCCGGGGGTGGAACCTGTGCGCAGCAGCCTCCGATGCCGAGCAAGACCGTTTTCTTACAAGAGTTTAGTCCGGAAAGTACGAGGAGGTTGATCCTCGCAGGACAAACCGCTGCTCGTTAAAGGAAAACAGTTTTTAGGAGTGGTTTGTGGCTCGAGGCGCTGCGCCTCGGGAGCTCGTGGTCATTCCGAAAGGTCGCTTTTTAAGAGAAACAACCTCAAAAGACTCCCTGGAAAATGGGTCGAGCGCTTCTTCGGGGCTTCCTCCCAGTGGCTGGTCTGCGGGTGGGGAGACGCGCGGGAGGCCCCGCTCCTGCCGGTGCAGCGTCCCCGCAGCCTGCACGGTGAGAGGGGACGAGATCACAGCACCCCGAGTCCCGCGCTCTCCCCTGAGTACTCCTAGGGATGACATTCATTGCAGCTTCTAATGACACAGACTTGAAGGGGAACAGAGGGAGACTACAAACAGGTTTATGGCCTGCCAGCGGGGCTCTGGGCTCCAAATTGCCGGGCTCGGCAATCCCCGGTCGTTTCCCCGGCGCGGGCGGGGCGCGCGGCGGGCGGCGGGGTCCCCGCGGCGCGCTCATTAGCGCCCACTCTCCTTAATGGCTTCCTGTGGCTGGATGTTTACTTGTCATTTGTTTGCAGCCTTGTTCCCAGCTACTGATCCCAAGACTGACCACCTTTTCTGTCCTTGTTTGAAGCCGGTGCCCGGAGCTGTGCCAGTGACCCCGTGCAAAGTCGCGCCCCAGGCCGGGCGCCTGAGGTCCCCTCCGCGGGCCAGCGTCTACCTGGTAGGACCGGCGGCGCTGCAGGGCCGCGCACAGTTCTCCCGGCCTCGGGGGTCTGCGGGTCCCACCGCTGTTCCCACTGTGCGTGCGCTTTACCCTCGGACGACCCGGGAACCGGGAGCCCAGCCCCGAGCTGGGAAGGCCTTTCCCGGGAGCCCCTCTGCCAGGGCGGAGTGGGGGCACGGCCCGCGGCCTCCCAGTTCCAGGACCGAAGGGGAGACCCCAAACTCCACCACCCCGAGTCCGCCACCCCTCCAGGGACTGCCTTCTGTGCAGAAGGCTTGGGTTGGTCCTGAGCCTCGCAGAGACCTTCCTGTCGTTTAGACGTTACTGTTTGAGAAGGATGAAAGCGCTTCCTGCGGAGGGAGGGAGGGTCGGGCTGCAGAGGCCACCTCCCTGGTGTCTAAGGGATTCCTCTCGCCACATAAAACCAGATCACAAAAAATTCTCGTGTCTGCTCTAGAATTGTCTCATTTCTCGGGATGGGGGCAGCCAGACAAGTGCTGACGCAGGCTACTTTCTTCATCAAACAGCCCCCATCGGGCTTTCTAGAGTCTTGGCCATGCCTGGTTTTATTCTCGACTTTGTTAAGGAGTGAACTTCTGGCCAGGGGCTCCAGGCCAGAACGAGTCACGGGTGCCAGGGGCCAGGCGCTCAAACTGCGCTCTGAGCTCTCTATCCAATCAGGTCTCACAAGAGGAGACTGACCGAGGTGGATCTGGAGGGTCCAGTTTACCTGCCCCTCAGGAAGTCCCTACCCCCTTTGGAGCGTCCAATCCAGGCTCTCCTCCTTTCTTCACCTTTTCTGTCTGTGAAACAGCCTCCCCAGCTCAGTTGCTTGATTCTAGAATTAAAAAATAAAAGCCATTTAGATCCACAAATTCATTGTAATTTTGACTTCTGACAAACTGAAAATGGAATGGAAAATGAGACCCTCAAATTCTAAGTCCTGGGTGCCTGAAGGGGTTCTCCTGGGCTCACTGTTTAAAAAAGCTACCTGACATGTCCACAGGTGGTTCCCAAATCTGGCCTTATCAGTTGGAGACGTGCCCCAATGTCTAGGACATGAATTTATATTTGAAAGCGGTGAGGGTCCTGATGTCTGTTTTCTGCTAAACTGGCAAATAGGTGTTTTACCACAAGCAGGAAATCCCTGTGTGGCAATCAGTTTAGAGTATGACAATTCAAGACTCCCCAGGTCAAAGGAGATACAATTAGAAAATGACTTTTTAGGGAAAGGTGTCTTGCTCTTTCCTCCCAATGTCCTCAAACCCGTTGGCCCCTCTTTTCTCCCTTAAAGCTTCCTTGTTGCCACCCCAAGGTCCCCTATAGTAACCTCGAGTAACTCTAGCTACCAACGAGAAAAGAACAGTCTGCCTGTCTTCAGATGGTCCCCTTTAATTTTAAACCCATTATTTAGGGACAGAGACAGTTGAAGGTGTGGTGGAACTTTGTGGGTGTCAGTTGCTATTGAAAGTAACTCTTCTCTGAACAGATGAGCTGCAGGTTACCCAGACATTACACTCCAGGGCTTAGTAAGAGGACTTCAGTGTTTTAAATCATCCACTGATGTATCATTTGTCATTAAAAATATCAGTCTGATATATTTGGTCTCTTTGAATGTAAGATTATAGGGTTGCAGAATGAACTGACCAGATGCGGAATCTTGAAGAACATGAGTGACCATGAAGAGTTTTGGAAGCTGGTTCAAGAGGAAGGTCGCGGAACAGAAATCAAAGAAAAGCTCCAAAAGATAAAATTTAAAAGTTTGTATATTTCCTGTTTTTTATTGTGGATTTTTATAATTGCCTTAACATTTTTAGCCCTTGGTTCTGGGAAGCAGTGATCCTGTCTCACAGTCGGGTTAAGATGGTAGGACAGCTGGTTTCTAAAGATTTCAAGGCCGTATGGGTTTTCATAATAAAATAGGCACTGGGGACAGTGGCTGTGTTTGCTGGTTGCCTTCAGTGCTCCGACCACACCACCAACCAGGGCTCAGAGGGACAGGCCATGCACCTTTTCCTCAGGACGTTTCCAGGGCTGCTTCTCACCAGAGTGAAGAAATTCATTTCAATAAATGAGGAGTGTTTACTTCTTGCCAAGAACTGTGCACAAACACAGGTGATAAATGGCCTAAAGGAGACAAAAAAAGTGTTCCCATGCCGCAGTCTGGCTGGGCACAAAATCACGAGCCACTCACAGCCTTGTAGATTCAAACAGCAATTCTTTATTCCCTAACTGTCACCGGCACTCTACACGCACGTTCTGGGCAAAATCCACCCTCTCCACCGGGCTCTGAATCCCAAATACTCTCTGAATCCCGGGAGAACTCAACGGGAACTCAAGTCGCCTGAGGCAGCAGGATACGCCCTATTCCCAGCAGGAATCACCTTAAACCTGGAATGGCCCTAAACCCCGATCCGCCCTAAACCCTGATCCACCCTGGTCCTTGAGCAAGGTCACCTTTCATGCAAAGTCACTGCAAATGACCTGGGTCCACCATGGAGAGTCCTTCCTCTAAGCAACATGGGGTAGGCGGACAAGGAAATTGCCATGTGTTGTACCTACTTAGCTAGGGCTCTCAGCATTCCCAAAGAGGCTTTGAGCAATTGAGAATGTGAGATTTTAAAGTGGCCGCAGGAAAGTTTGTAGGTTAGATTTACTTTTGTCGAGAGGTTTAACAGACAAGAAAGCCAGGCCGTGGGTTCCACCTCAGCCGCATCGGTTACCCTTTGAGAGCATACTTTTTAGCTTGTTATAGGTTTTAAAGTATTTGTGCCTATGAGATGTCAACAGCCTGAAGGTCAGTGACTCTCAGCCCCACTGACCAGGGTGTGAGTGGGCAGTGTCTCCCTGTGGCCGTGGCTTTGGACCAGAGCCCACTAGAGCTTCGTAGAGCTGGGTTAGTAAGCACTCCCTTGTCTGAGGTTTGCAGTGTTCTGAGGTGAAGGCCCCGTGGGTTTGTTACCTGTTCACTCTGGTCAGGCACGGAGCTGGGCAATGCTGGTACAGAGGTGACCACAGGCTGATTTCAATCTTCTTCTCAGCAAAATACTTTCAGGGGACCATGATCTTTTACCTTCGTACTGGGCTGCTCCACCTAGGTTCTAGTTTACGGCAGTGCTCACCCCTACGTAGCGTTAGCGTGCTCCCACGAAAATGTCTAAAGAAACCTGGGCCAACGTGCAGATGTCCTAAGCAACAGCATGAAAAGTTAACTTCCAGAGAAGATCGAAATGAACATTGTTAGTTGAGTGACTTTTTTTTTTTTTTTTTGAGAATGGAAAAATCCAAGTGAAGTTTTTGGGGTGGTGTGTTAGAGCAAAAGGGCCAGTGGCTTTTTTCGTGTGTGTGAGGAATTCCTGAAGGAGCCAAGCTGCTCCTGCTGGGTGACATGTGGAAAGCCACCAGAGCCCGCCAGCTGGAGCAAGGCCAGTGGCCTTGGAGCTGGTCACTTCTGGCAGGTGGCTTTGTGTTTTCTCCGTGAACCTCTGATTTGAAGGTGCTATCAGGATGGAAAGCCATGGGAACTCAGAGCCTGTGGATCTTTCTGAATGAACACACAAGCTCGGACCCCTGAACAAAGGCTTTAATTACTTGAAGAAGGTAGAGAACTCAAACATTCTCAATGTTGAAAGCATAATCGTTTGGAGGTAAATAGGTCTTTTCCGCTGCCCATTCAGAAGCTCGTCTGCCTTCAATGTTGCTCTTGGCCACTAGTAATTGTTGTACATTTTACAAGATTACTGTGAGCTGGGCATGGTGGCACGCACCCATAATCTCAGTGACTTGGGAATCTGAGGGAGGCTGAGGCAGGAGGATTGCAAGTTCCAGGCCAGGCTGGACATCTTAGTGAGACTGTCTCAAAATAAAAAAATAAAAAGGGCTGGAGGTGGAGCTCAGTGGTAGAGCACCCCTGGGTTCAATCCCCAATACAAAAAAAAAAAAAAAAAGAAGAAGAATGAATTAATTAAAGTGGCATCTGTGCAGTTGCACCTGGAGCTCCCCATATCCTTTGCTTATCGAACTGTGACAGTCAAGGACTGAACCTAAATGTCTAGTAGGAAGAAATCTGAGCCTAGAGAGTTTAGAGACCTGCTCATAAATATTCACAGAAGAAAAATAGCACCAATTTCTAGGAAATACAGGACTTTTATCCAAGTAGGTGACTGAAAATGTTGTTCACTATAATTTTGGAGTGTTTAAATATGTAAAGCATGGTTTGAGTCTTCGCCAAAATGAAAAAGGTCAGCTTTCTCTAGAATATTATGAGTTAATAATCTACAGTAAAATTTTTGACTTGGAGATGATGACAAAACTATCCACCAGCATTTAAGTATATAAATAATACTGAATGCTGAAATTCCAAAAAGAAAAAAAAATTCATAGTTGAAAGAACTGTAAATTCCCAGGTTTATTACAGATTAAGAATTTACTGTTCAAACATTGAGCTGGATCTTCAATATTAAGTGTTTATCTTAATGTGAATTCACATTCTTTCCTGCTTATACAGAACTGAACAGTAGTACAAATTGAGCTTCTTGATACCTCGCATATCTCTCCCCAGTGTTGAATCCCAGGCCTCAGGATGCTCCTAGGAGAAGGGAAGCCAGGCCACTGGTGGACGCTGATCGCCAGGACAGGCTTTGCCGGTGGAGACAGGTGAGGCTGCTCCTAGGGATGAAAGAAATGTTCTCTGACATTGCGTTTTCATTTCTGTTAGGGGATGATTTCATGTCTACTATGTCCCAAGCTTTTTTGTTACTTAGCATTAAAAATATTCATGTGGTGAAGTGAATGGTCTAACGGGCGATTTTGAATACTTATGGCATGCAAAGTAGTATTTTGCATCGTCCGTGTAATTTCATTTGGAAGCTGTAAGGCAGGTGTGTCTGGGGAGAGAAAACCTGGTGAAAATGACTCCCAGGGACTGCCAAATCACCAGCTGGAGACTCATGTGTGGGAGAAAGAAAACCAGGGATTCTTGTTCTTTATTATAAAAACCCAGGTGCAGTGGAGTTAGGGAGGATTCTACAGACGCAGCTCTGGTGGGAGGGTCTGCGTTTGTGGAAGGGAGGGCTCCCGCCCTGAGGGGAGCAGGTTTCTTCTGTTTCCAGGGCTGCCCCCAGGTGCCCAGCCCTGCAGCAGGAGGAAGGCTTCTGGTTGACCACGTGCCTCCCATCTCCCCAGTCCTGCTCATCCCCTCAGAGGTCTCCATTCCCCCCAGATGAAATGACCCCAATACTGAGGAACCACCCCATGAAGCTGGGGAGCCGCCCTGGAGCCAGAGACAGGTCTAGAAGTAGGAGGTGGGGTGAGTGCTGCACCTCTCCAGCTGGATCTCATCCTGCTGGGCTTTCTGCACACCCATCCTCAGCTGCCATGGTGTGACGGAGACAGCTCAGCCTTGGAGTAGGAAGGTCTGGCTTTGATTTTTGACCCTGCTCCCTAACAAGGGGCTTGGGCAGGGCCGCAAGCTTCCTGCGTCATTTCTTCACATGCAAAGGTGTGAGTGTGCTGCCTGTTTTACAGGTTGTGACCAGAGGAACCCACATGAAGGAGCCGGGTACAAATTTGTTTTAAAGATATACGAAGGCCCTGTGCTGTGGACATGTTGGACCTGGTTTTAGCAAACATTCCCCCCACCCCCAACATCCCAATGCATTGTCTGGGATTTGTTTGGGACACTTGCAGTAACAGGAGCTGCTTGGAGGAGGACAGGCTGTCCTCTGATCAACTCTGTTCTCTCATTGGCTGGTGCCCCAACCAGTGGACAGTGCATGAGCTGTGCCCTCCTGGGTGGCTGGGGAGGGCTGGGCCTCACACTAGGGTGTAAGGAGCACACCATTCTCAGTTTGCTAGAAGAGCAGTATTTGGGGGGAAGGTCTGTCATATGGCTGAAGACTGCTGAAATTTTGGTTTGCAGCAAAGAGTTGTCTTATGTACCTCATCCTCTGGGAAGAGGACCATGTGATCCCATGACTGCAGAGACAGATGTTCCATCTAACTCTCCTGGGTCAAAATAAATCTCGCTTTCTGAGCTAGGAAAGGCAGTTTTCTCAAATAATGTTGGACATGCATGGCTTGTGCACCTGATTGACTTTTGACCCTGAAAGTGATCACCACCCTGATTGTCTCTGCAGGTAGTAGAGGTAGTTAAAAGTGGCTAGGTGTTAATTATTTCTGGCTTCCCCCTGTGTTCAGAGAACTAAAACCAGTTTATTCGTCCACGTGAACATGCACATTTAGGGGAGGAGAGCTGGCCCGAGTGTGGAATGTGTTATTAGACTCAGGATACCTGGTGGAGGTTTCAGAGGGACATGTTGTCCTCTGTCTGTCTGTCTGTGCTGGGGAGGAACCCAAGGCCTTGCCCATGCTAGGCAAGCGCTGTACCACTGAGCTACAAACCCAGCCCAAGTGTTGTCCTTTATAAAAAAGAACATGGGTTGGGCTGGGAAGAGCTGGACACTTCACACCAGGAAGACGAACGGCCCAGCAGCCCTGGGAGACAGTGTGGGCACTGCAGGGCCCGCACCTGGGGTTCTCAGGTGTCCCACGCTTGTTCGCATTTTATCAGCTATTGTCCCTCAGACTGCACTGTGCCCTTCCCATGCCCACAAGTCACATGTTGAAGCCCTACCCCCAGCGTGACGATGTTTGGAGGTGAGTTTAGGGGAGGTGACGAGGGTGGGACCCCCATCATAGGATCAGTGTCCTCGTGAGAGGAGATGCCAGTGAACTTGCTGTCCCTCTCTGTGTGTGAGGATACACTGAGGGGGCTGCCATCTCCGTGGCAGGAAGAGCCCTCACCAGGCCCCAGTGGTGCTGGTTCCCTGGTCTCCTACTTCCTGCCTCTGAGTTGTGAGAAAGTGAATTTCTGTTGCTTAAGCAACCCTGTCTGCGGCAGTTTGTTGTGGCAATCTGAGCTAAAATTCCAATAAATGTATTTCATGTTTATTTCATATTTATTCAAAGTAGCTTCACAGATCAGAAATAGGGCCAATGGGAAGAAGTCACAAAAAAGTAAGGTTTAGTTCAGCATGGGGGTGTGTGCATGCTGGACTATGCTGACCTTTAATAATGTGGACACATATATAATACTAACTGAGTTCCCCCCATTGTGCCTCCCTCAGCCCTACAGGAGTTTGAGTCTGGGATGCAGATTCCTTAGGTAGAACCTAATATTCTGTCCAATTCAAACTGATTTAAGTACAGAGAAAAAACAACCAGAGGAATGAAAACACACAGTGTAAAAAATACATGATAGAGAAAAACTCTGTCAAGATGACTGTTTGAGAACCAGAGCCCCCACACAGCACAGGTGGTCACCACGCTAGGTCACAGGTCATCACGCTAGGCTCCAGCTCTGTAGCTTCTTATGCAATGGTGACATTATTTCACATAAAGAAAAACTGAAGGCCACAGTTAGATAAGAATTCTATAAGGATCTCTCTGTAATATTACAACGCTGTGGGGAAACCTTTGCTGCCTCCACTAACATCACGATCTCACATGATGTCCAGCGTCGTTCCTGGACTATCCCAGTTAATGTCTGTGCGCTGACATGTCTGCAGATTTTGAGAAACCCATTTTACAGGTGGGGAAAAAGAAACTTAGGACAGTCTGGTAACACCCTTGGCCAGGGTAGCCCAGTCTGCACAGTGTGGACCTGGATCCCAACCCGGCCTGCCTCCAAACTGTCAGGCCGGCCGTGTGTCACATTGCCCCAGAAGGGAGTAGGCAGAATTGCCAGGAATGTAGGACAGTGCCTATAGAAGCCCTTCTTGTGGCCAGTGACGGTGAGTTTTATCATGAAGATGGCCTGAAGTGACTTGGGAGTGACAGACCCTCCAGGCACTGCTGCCCACAGCCCACGGGCGGCTTCCCAGAATCCCCTCTGCAGAGGACCCTCAGGTGGAATTGAAATTAGTTTCGAGCCCAAGAGGGGCGGGTGCAGCTCACACCAAACTGTGAGAAAGCCCCTGCCTTTAATCTGGCCTGGCCTGGCCCGCAGGCCACCAAGCCCCTGTTTGGTCCTCTGCAGCCAGGTCCATCTAAGGCTGGAGGCAGCTTGGCAGTGTAGTCAGGAGCGGCGCAGAGGAGATTGTTCACAGGGAGGTGAGGAAAAAATACGACTGGAATGAGGCAGGCACTCGGAATTAAATCCAAAGTGAATCTAGGGGACCGCCCTGACAGTTGTGGACAGCAGGAGGACTTAGTGCCTGCAAGCCCAGCCTGGGGGAACAAGGACAAGCACAGAGAAAAAGAGGGCAAGGAGTGCAGGCCGTGTGCCCTGGAGGCACACCTGCAGCTGAGCTCCCCAGTTTCACAGCTTGTGCTTGGGCGGGTCCAGGTCGCCATGGACACCTCGTGGCACAGGGCTGTGGCTTCCACCAGAGACTGGCTCATGCCCGGATAGATGCTAGATGAGGTGTGAGGAGCACCCTGGACCTATGGAGTGGCTGGAACTGCCACACTCCCAGAAGGGGCGCTTGACTTAGGGCACTGTGAGCAGCGCCCCAGCAGCCTTTGTCCCCTGGGAGCAGCCACATTTCACCTGCAGACACAGGCGTGGTGTCAGGGGCATGGTCAGTAGAGAAAGCGAGATTCGATTGGGCATAAAAACACCCACAAAGCTCTGTCCACTGTGGGAACTGCCCCTTCACGGAGGAATGCTGAGCGCCTATGGAATCGCCTGGGGAGGGAGTGCCGATTGTCCTGAGCACCCCGGTCCCCTTCCTGTGCTCCTGCAGCAGCTGTGATGCCTGCCCAGGGCGCCTGCCTTTCACAGCTGGAGTCTTGGGAAACAGACCCCTTGAAGTGAAGAGCCCCAGGTTGGCTTCCCAGAAGTTCCTCGTTCTGAGAATGGGGGCTGGGGGCTGCCCGGCCAGCGGGTGCCAGGGCACCTGCCAGCCCAGCCTGATCTACAGGTGTGTACCACTGGCTTTGCTTCTGTAAAGCGCAGCCCCTTCTGGGAAGAGGCACCCCGCTGCTCCCCCCCCCCCCGTTTCTCCTTTGCCCATGGATTGCCTGTTTCCTACGTGGGTGGGCAGCCAACTGGCCACGGGGATCCAGGTGGTTCCTGGCTAGGCTACTGGTCACACTTTGGACTGGGAACCACTCTGGTGGTGTAAGATGAGATGGGTCATTTGGCAGCAGACTGAACCCCTTTCTGCCAGGCAGGTTGCAGGGCTCCTGAGCCTGCTGCACTCCGTCCCGGAGCAGAGGCCTCTCTCAGGGGCGATGATGCAGTGGATGGCTGAGCACGTAGGCGTGGGCTGCCCCAGCTGGAGCTGTGCACAGTGTGCTGGGGTGCATTCTTCACCATTACCATGACAGTTCAGTCCTGTGTGACCTTGAGCCCTGGCACGTGGTCTTGGGTTATCAGCCCCTGGGAACTTGTTAGAAATGCAAACTCTCAGGCCCAGTGCAGCTCCTGAATCCAGAACTTTGAGTTTGGGTTTTAACCAGCCGTTAGGGACTTAGGGACAGACCCAAGTTTGAAAGCCAGAGCCCTAGGCACTACCTCAGCTTGGGGGTTTAGATGTCCAGACTTAATTAGCTGTGGTTCTGGGCCTGTTAATGATAGGCTGTCTGACTTTATTTATTTAGGTACTGGAATTGAACCCTGGGATGCTCTACCATTGAGCTATGCCCCTAGCCCTATTTATTTATTTATTTGAGATAGGGTCCTGTTAACTTGCCCAGGCTGACCTTGAACTTGCGATCCTTCTGCCTCAGCCTCCTGAGACACCAGGATTATAGGTGCATACTGTCATACTCCCAGTCCCAGTTTTCCAACTCTTAAACAAGAACTCCTTTCAGATATTCAGAATGTTTCCAAGTGTGGTGGTGCATGCCTGTAATCCCAGGTACTCAGGAGATTGAGGCAGGAGGCTTGCAATCTCAAGGCCAGTCTGGACAATATAATAAAACTTTTTATTGAAATAAAAACAATAAAAAGGGCTGAGGATGTAGCTCAGTTTTAGAGTAGTTGCTTAGCATGCGTGAGGTACTGGGTTCAATTCCTAATACTGCAAGAAAAAAGAAACATAAATAGGAGTTTGTTTGACACATGGTAGATGCTCAGTAAAGATTCCTTGAATGGATAAATGACTTACAGAATGAATGACTGATGTTCCCAGTGAGGTGGGTGGGCTTCCCTGGAAACGTGCATGTAGGACTGAGGCCCCAGAGCCTGACAGAGAGACCAGGAAGGAGCATCAGGGACTGGCAAGAATCAGTCTCCTTCCCTCTGACAACTCGCCACCAGCATACCCGGCTGCCCAACGCAGTTGTACAAGAGAGTCCAAGTGAGGTGACTCTGAGACTTGAGGACTGTTCAGGTGGAAGTTCCTGTTTACAGGGACTTAACATTCCTCTCTCTAGTGCTGAGCCCTCTCTGTGAACATGAGGGTCAGAGACAACTCAGTTCTTGGGATTACACCCGATCCACCCAATCCACACTTTCTTTTTAAAAAGAACCTGAGATTGATGTTCCTCTCCAAGCAACTGCTGCAGGGCTCTGGAAGAACCATACAGAATGGCCCTTCCTGCTGTAAGAAGAGCCTCCTCCTGCTCTGTGCATGGAGTGGAAGGATTGCCATGCATTCTCTATGACAGGTGACACCGCCACTCTGCCTGCTCCCAGAGTCAGCACGCTGCCTCTCAGGCAGAGCCACCCACAGAGCAAGGCCCTCCTACCTCCGAGGACTGTGAGTGCCTAGAGTAGAATCCGAATGAGATCTGTACAGCTTCTTGCAAGGAGGTCAGGTTGAGCTACCGAGCTCTAAGACTGACCTTGCCCTCGACTTGCCCACATCAGTAAACCACGCTGACCCTTTGTTCAGGATTCACCGGAGCCAGGCTTAGACAGAACCATACGGCAATACCCCACCCAAATTTGAGCCTTCTTACACATCTGTGACCACCTAGGTCCAACCAGGCCCTCCTCCTGTGGAGTCTGTCCTGCTGCTGCCCTTAGCCCAGCACACAGCTGCAGTCCAGTCTCAACAGGAGAGCTGTGGGGTTGGGCTTGTCCACTGCTGTACCAGAATGCCCAGGAGCCTAGTGGAATGGTGGCTGAGTTTGGCTGGGGTAAGAGGGGGATCTTCTGTTGGTCTCCTAGGCTCAAGTATGGGACTGCACTTAGCTGTGAGCTGATGAACTCTAAGACCTCCAAGACAGCCCGAGGGTCTCTCTCCTCCTCTCTGTCCTCCCACACCCACAAGAGAGTCCAAGTGAGGGCAGCCAGCCTTTTCCACAGTGGCCCTCTGTTTTCTTTCTTTCTTTCTTTGAATACTGGCACTGAACCCACAGCCTCACACATACTAAGAAGCTACCTACCACTGAGCTATATCCCCATCCCCTCTTCTAAGAAAGAAGTTGCCCCAGCTGTCTGTCCCCATAATACCTGGATGTCACTTATGCCACACTCTGAGTCACAGCAGGGCACAGGGCTGGTCAGATGCCAGCAGAGGGGAAGCAGCCCTCATCTGTTGATAGTGTAGGCCCAGGAGGGGTTGCTGTGCTGGCCTGGCTGGGAGACACTGCCTTCTGTGTGCCCAGCTCATCTCTGGGTTTCTGCCCAAGCCTGCAGCTGGGCTCCTGTGCTGTAAAAGCCACAGGCTGATTTGCATGTATTCGGATGTACTGGTCTGGGTACTCCCTTGGCCTGACATGAGTTCCTTGGGCAGGAAGGCTTCTACACGAGCTCACTGTTGTCCTTCATGTTGAAAGGAGTGCCTGGCCTGTAGGCAGAGCTTCAGAGACAGGTGCAGGTTGAGTAAGGGAGTGTGGTGCACACAGGTAAGCCCACAGGTGCCGCAGTCTGGCTGGGCACAAATCATGAGCCACTGAAGCAGGAACAAACTTTATTTCTGAACTCCACCAGCACACTCCACATACGCTCTCCAGGAATTCTCCCCAACGCACGCGGCTTGTCCAGGAACCAGCAACCAGAAATATCCCTCCTCCGGCACTTCCCCAACCAATGGGAACTCTCCGGGAATCCCCGCGAGAGCTCAACTGGAACTCAACGGGAACTCAACGGGAACTCCGCGAGAACTCGCTGGCGTCACCTCTCGACCACTACTTCTGGCAAAAATGCCATGCGCCATCCCAACTCGGCTGTGGCCCTCAACACACAGGTTGGCCCTCTGTGGCCAGACTGTATCTCACAAACAGACGCTGAAAGATGTGGTATAGAGGGCTGGGGATGTGGCTCAAGCGGTAGCGCGCTCGCCTGGCATGCGTGCGGCCAGGGTTCGATCCTCAGCACCACATACAGACAAAGATGTTGTGTCCACCGAAAACTAAAAAATAAATATTAAAAAAAAAGAAAAAGATGTGGTATAGAACTGTGTCGCATACCCTGTTGGTCCCGGTGGGGCAGGGAGTAGGACGTGAGATGGAAAGCACTGTCCTGCAGCTGTGGGGTTGGGGAGGCTGCTGGAGGGGAGCTGTGGGCTGCTGAGAGGCCATGGTGACTGAGCCGGGTCTGGCTGACACTGACCCTGGCAGGTCTCTGTGGCTTAGTTGCAGCCAGGACAAGACAACAGGTGCTGTGTGACACGCAACACAGAACATGGGGGGCCGTTGTGCCCGACGGTCGTTAGGGTGATGCCGTGCTGGGGCTGTTTAGTAACTGCCTTTGTGTGTGCCCTACTGCAGCAGCTCCTCTGTTCCTTTAAACTAGTGTTGAATTGTTCAGGAGGACCCTGTTCCCTGAATCTTGCTGGGTTGTGAAGCACTGTCCAGGGAATTCCTCCTTTTTTTCTTGCTAGTAAGAAAAAACACACTAGTTTTAAGATTAAAATATCCTGGAAGTAATTCAGGAATGAAATAGTTGTAGCTCTTTCCCCCTTTGTGGTGCGGGGGCTGAACCACCACCTCGTGCCTGCGAGGCGTGAACCTCCCATCAAGCTTCACCCAGCCCCAGCTCCTGGATGGGTCTCCAGGGGTGATTCTGTCCTCTAGGGCCTTGGCTCTGGGGACAGTGTCAGATGCGACGTTAGGAACGTGCTCTGTGGACAGGCGCAGTTCACCGCAGGCGTCAGGCTGTGGTTCAGAGGCTGAATCTGGGCTCCTTTGCTCAGTGACAGGCCCTGAAACCTGTGAGAGGGCCTTACCTTCTCCACTCCTGACCCTGGTTTTCACTTCTTTCGAATTTTCACTTTTATGGATTCTTCACACTTTTAAAGCGTTTATAGCTTAGCAATGAAGTTCTGATTGAAGTCGGTTACATTACAACTAATTTTTAGTAGATAGTTCATATAGAAACCTTCATTTTCCTTCAGTGTAAGTGACACAATATTTGCTGTTGATCTATAGGAAGTAAAACCCTTTGACCTTCAGAGACGAAAAACAAAACCACACCAATTACATTAGATACAAAGTAATGAGACTTTACCCAGTTTTGAATGAATATGAAGTTGTAAGACAACTAGCTCAATTTTTCTGTCAATTTATCCCTAGTGTCCACATAGAAGGACATTGTCAGGCTCCAAAGATTATTTTCCTCTAAAAATGATACAAAATAACAACATAATTTAGGCAACTATTATTATTGGGCATTTGTTACATGCTGAGAATCTAGACCAGATATAAAGACTGTGTGTATGTGAATGGGAGGAAGTCATGTCGATTAACAAATATGTATGTTAAGAATATATTTTTTGTTCTAGAAATATTGAAATAATTGTAATATTTCTAAATAAGAGGTGTTTCATTTTTGAAACTGCCCCATGGCTTGTCCCACCTGGGATCTGGATGCCCGCCAACCATCAGGATTGAGACTGGCTATTGTTCTTTACAGACCAGGGCCTCTACTCTGGGACAGGAACCCTGTCTGCCTCGAACCCAAGAAGAATCTCAGCAACGACCTCTGAAGGTAAGAGGCACAGACTCTTCAGTGGCCTTGATATCTCCAAGTTACTGTCGACTTAATAACTAAGTTCACCAGGACTGTGGGGGTGAAATGGTATTCTCAGGACACTAACCATAGAATCTATGTTTGTGTATATGACAATGAGATTGTGTAAGCAAATGTTTTCTCTGTGAAGATGAAACTGGGGGTGTATTATTATTGTCTTTTCTTTCAGAAGGCAATATCATTTTTATGGGGGGGTGGGTGTGTCTCTAAAAACTAGATCCTTGCTTCTAAACTAAATATCACCCACTCAGCTATGTATCCATCCATCTACCCACCACACATCTATCTGTCTGCCCATCTGTCCATCCATTAAAAAGCACTCATTGGAGTGGGTTTCAAAATATATTCTGTGAGAGGTAGAAAGATGAACCAACTTCTCAAATGACTATCATTTTAGTGATTTTTTAGTATCTTTTGTACTGAAATTTGATTTGGGGGATTAGAAGGGGTGTAGAGTAATTTTTAATTGTGACAATGTATGTGCAGTTTAAGTTTCACTTTTTTAAAAACAAAACTCCTTGGTATGAGAAAATAACTAAAGGATCAGAAATAAGAGCCAATGAGGCCATTTCAGCAGGAACACTTTCCCTCTCCGTGTTTTCTCCCTACTTGACCATCAGCAATCCACTTTTCCTATTCTTGCTTCATCTTACTATAGGTGTCCTTCTAAAAAAAATACTCGCCCTAATCACTTCACTAAATGTGGAAGAAATGGGTAGAGTTACGGCTTTGCACAGATGTTTCTGAGAGGTTCTCTCTCAAAAAGGGGGCTTTTCAGGCTGGGGTGGTGTGTGAATGAGAAAGGCCACTCCTGGGGGGAGGGCCCTAGTCCTGGATTGCAGTGTGCAGCGGTGACACTTAGGACGGCTTCCTCTGTACTCGGAGCTGAGAGGGGTCAATCCCTGGGTGCTCTGACCGTAAACAGCCTTCAAGCACTTTAAAAAATCTGCATTTTGTGGGTGTCGGCACAATACACTCTGCCTTCCCTCCACCATCTGTGCTTTATGCCTGAATCCCCTTTGAACATTTGCCTTGGCTTGTAAAAACTGCAATTTATTTCACTCCAGGCTTCAAGGTGATATACCATTTTGCCAAATGCAGTTGTAGGCAGATAGTCCATTCCTAAAAAAGAAAACCTTCATTTTTCTTACCCAGACTTGACTTTTCTTGGTAAAAAAGCCACAGTGTAAATTTTAGGGAGTTTGCAGACACTTGAGGCCTGGTGGGCAGAGGTCACCTTTCCCAGTCCCTTTGATGACCCGCTCTTAGTGGGTGGCTCCCAGCTCTGGAATTTGGGACTCTGAAATTCCACATTGGTCCCTGTGGCCAGGAGTGGCCCCCAGATGGCCCCACCCAGTGTTCCCCCTCGACTCCAAGGTTGGGTCCTGGTGCAGGACAGGGGTGGTGTCTCCTTTCTGCCGTGACAGGGCTTTGCACTCTTGGCTTTGAGGTTGTCTTAGGAGAAAACCCACCACCCGAGGCCGGCTTGTGGCGAGTGCTTGGCTGGGTGGAGAGCCTGTGGGGGACCCGGGCCCTCGCCACCCATGGAATTCCTGCATGCGGATTTCCCACAGGAGGCTTCCCAGGACTGAGGGAGGGCCTGTGGGGCACTTGTCACATGGGTGACCTCAGATCCATTAAGACCTAGCATGGAAGGCCTCTGGCCTGAGCAGTTCCCCGTCTCACAGACTGGGCTGGAGCAGTGTGTCCCCTCCCCTGCCCACTGTTCCCGCCTCTACCCGGGCCACACTCACACCTCACCACCTCTGCCGACCTTCCGGGGCTCAGCCAGAGGACACTGTTCTTCTTTCCAGCTTCCCTGGGCACACCTGGTCCTTGCACAGGTGTTAGCTCCTCAGCGGAGTGGGCCCGCAGCTCCAGGCCCACCTCGGGCAGCACTTGGACTCTCCTCCGTGAGGACTGAGCGTCTTGTTCCTGAGCCCATCAATCCGCCTCTGCCCGCTAGTCAGCATGATTTCATACTCGACTTTGCCTAAGCAGGATCCTCCCTCTTTCTCTTCACCATCAGCCAGCATATCTGCTTTGGGACCCAAAGCTCCCTGGGCCCCGGGACACTTGTCTCACTGGGACCCAGCCTGAGAGGCATCTCCTTGGTTGCTGGGCGGGCAGCGGGGTTATGAGCTGTTGTTCTGGGTCCATCCTGTGCTGGGAGCCATTAGCCAAGTAGGTATGACAGTTTCCTTGCCAGCGTACCCCATGTTGCTGACATGTTGCAGTGACATTGAATGTAGGTGACCTTGCTCAAGGACCAAGGCAGATTAGGGTGTTCCCGGTTTTAAGATAATCGTGTTTAGGGCGTTCCCAGTTTAGGTTCCAGGTTTAAGGTTTAAGATTATTCCTGCTGGGAATAGGGCGTATCCTGCTGCCTGAGTTCCCCTTGAGTTCTCATGGGATTCAGACAGTATATTTTGGGAGATAGAAGCCCAGTGGAGGTGGATTTGGGCAGAGAACGTGGATTTCCCCAGAACGTGTTTGTAGACGGCTGGTGTGAGTTCGGGAATAAAGAGTTGCTGTTTGAATCTACAAGCTGTGTGGTGGCTCGTGATTGTGTGCCCAGCCAGACTGCGGCATTTGTGCCCAGCCAGACTGCGGCAATCCTGCACTTGCAGAGGCTGGGGGGGGGGCGGGAACCCAGTGCTGGGCAGCCTGCCCCTCCTCCACGCAGCACGTGTTTGCTGGCTCAGGCAGGTGAAGAGCGCCTGGCTGTGCTCAGACGGGTTCTGCATCCCAAGACAGCGCGCAGCCAATGTCAGAGGCCAGTGTATCTGCAACACTACCTGTGAAGACGATTGCCGGCTGCTGGGTAGAAGGCATCCCGCCCACTTAGGGGTTCCCTTTTAATCAAGGAGAGTTGCATTCATGCTTTGAAATATTTCTTTTCCCCAAACTTCTCAGAGTGCTGAAGGCAGTCTGGGCCTCCTCTCTCCTCCAGTCTCCTCCGGCAGTCTTTCCTGAGCAATCCCTCTGGTCTGTTTGTCTCCCCCAAACCTTGCAGCTTGGCAGAACCCACTGGGCTGTAAAGGGCTGACTTAGTAAATTCTATGCAAAGGGATTAGAAACACAAACTGGGAGGACCCAGAGACGACACTGGCAGGACTGCCTGTAGGTACGCAGATTTAGAAATGCTTTACAGCTTCGGTTGGGAATTTTACACGCTTTGCCTAATTGTGGCAGATAACATGCACTCCCCTGGCCTTGCCCAGCTGAGCACGTGGTCGTAGAGCTCCAGGGCCTCGCCATTGGATCTGCCGGCTGGGAAATGTGGCCTCAGCCCTGGGCAGTACAAATGGCGCTAATGACCTCGAAAGACGTAAGCCAAATGGGGTCATTGGTGCTTGGGACGAACTATATCCTCCACTTAGAAGCCAGGATCACACGTTAATTTGCTGGGTTCTAGGAAAACATGCTTTTGTGGGGTTTGTAATGAGGGAGTGTATCATCAATAAAATGAGGAAAATCCTGGATGAAGTTCCTTCTTACTTGATTTTCTTTCTTTTTAGAGTCTGTACCTATGCATAAATAAATACAGGATGTTAATTTTGTACTTTCTCAAAATGTATCATTTTCTATCCACCCCAAATATGTCTAAAAACAATGTGAGGTACACACAGAGGGAGTTCTAACATTCCAGCCTCAGGACATGAGTGGTCTACTACCCCAAGTGACAAAAAGGGTGCCACAGGAATTTGGCAGTGCAGATGGAAATGCCACAGTGCTCACTCCTGATGGGAAACGATGGGATACAGAGTTTTGCTTGATCCATGTGTCTTACTAGGGAGCACAGGCATCGTATTGTGGGAAATGATTTATTTAATCACATTTTTAGCAATAAAATGAATCTTGGACTATGCCTGGAATGTGGTCTTGTCCCAGATGGAAGGATCCTATCTCCATGGTTTAGTGCTTAAGATTTGGATCACCCCAGGAGGTTTCTTCCAACAACACAAAGTGTCCAGGTGAGAAGGCGGAGCCTGGTCCCATCCTGGGAAGACCTTCAGAAGCCCCCGGAACAGGAATACTGTTGAAATCTCCGTGGACGGATGTCTTCATTAAGAAAAATGTTCCATCATAGCCTCCAACAGCTAAACCAGGAATACAGAAATGAGTAAAACTGGCTCCCGGGAAATAGGGAGCTCCTACCCGGCACCTGAGAGCTCAGGAAGAGGTGGGGGCGGCCTGCTGGAGAGTGGCTTCCTGGCTGTCCTGGTGATCTAGGGCAATGCTTCCTGGCAGGGACAGGGGAGTCATTGTTTTAGGTCTGCTGGGCCACAGCTGGTCTCTTGGGCAGTCCTCTTCTGTCTCTTTTTAAAATAACACTTGAAAAATGTCAAACCACAGATCTGGCCCCTTGGCTGGAATCTGCAGCCCTCTAGTCTGGGATGCTAACTTGGTGGTTCTCCTTTCTGAATTTTAATTACAGAAGAATAAATCCAAATGTGCTGTGTATCTTTTGGAGTCTAAGTTAAGAAAGCCATCTCTCTCACCATCTTTCACTGTAGTGTTTAGGCTAGGGCTGGGGCCCGTGTGGTGCTGCACACCTGTGGCAGGAGGGTCGCGTGTTCAAAGCCAGCCTCAGCAACTTAGCAAGGCCCTAAACAATTTGGTAGGATCCTGTCTAATTAAAAGAGGATGGATCTGGCTCAGTGGTTAAGTGCCTGAGTTCAATCCCAGTAACAAAAATAAATAAGTAAATAAAATAAATGAACAAACTAGGGCTGGACTATGCATAAGGCCTATATGCTGAGACCCTGGCCCGAGGATGCCTGATGAAGTTCAGATTTCAGGGCCCATTTGCCAGAGGACAGCTTTTCTTATTGTCACCTGATTCTACATTGTTGAAAAGGTGGCTTTGATTTTGAATGATGTGTTTTACCAACACTAGAAATGCTTCCATGGGTCACCCTACCCTAGCCCCAGTTTTTTTGTAGAATTTAAAG